ACACCCCCAGTTGTACCTGTCCTTGTTAACCCAGCCCTGAGTATGGTGGGGAAACAACTGCATCCCTCTGGACTGATTCCCCAGGAGACTCCAGGTTTGCAGATGCTCTCCCAGAGCAGAGGGAGGGGCAGAGCCCCAGGGCCAGGGTGACCCCAGCCACTCTTTGTCCCTCCCCACCACGTGTCTGTATGCAACAGCCAAGAACATCCTTCCCCCTCTTCCTCAGCCCATGGGAGGTTATTTTCTGTGCAGGGATGAAGTGCCAGCTCTGGGTGAGGTGACTGTCCCAGCAGTCTTAGACAGGACCCTGCCACCCTCCCATCTGTGCTGGTTAAACAGAACCAGCACCTCTGGTACCTCCCAAACCACCCCTGTTGTTTCGGAGGCTGATTCATTTACATGTTGCCTCAGAGCACCAAAAATATCAGAGGAAACTGAATTTTTTTCCAAGTCAAGGCCAGGCACTTCTGAGCAAGAAGCTTCTCCCATTTGCCTGCTGGTAATTGCTGATGCTGGACTGGGGGGTGAGATACTCATCCATGGTGTGCCACAGGAGGTGTGTCCAAAAGCTGCAGCTCACGTGTGTCACAGCATAAAGGAGTTACTCAGCTTAGCTGGGCTGCCAAAATTTAAGAAGGCAATAAATAGCAGATCAGAGCTTTATGACTGATTTCTCACCAGGATAATCAATGGGCAGGAGTCTGCCTTTAATTCAGAACCCTCAGAGGTCTCAGGTCTTGGAGAGCTGGGGCAGAGCCCTGTGGGACCATGGGGGTGATTCGTGCCCAGGGCAGCTCCTATCTCTGGGCCTGAACTGCTTTTACCTATTGGAGAGGCAAAGAGTTTGATCTGGGTTATTTATAGCAGCTGCTACAAATGTGCCAGGATGTGCCAGGCCGGGAGCAGGGGCTGCTCACCCCATCCCCATGGCCAGGGAGGCTGGTCCCAGGGTGAGACACCTCTCGTGGGGTGGTGGGACTGGGCTGTCTGTGTCCCACCCCCTCTGGTGTGGGAACTGGGGGAGACAGAGGGGCTGGGCTGAGCCCCTCACACAGCCTGTGTTCGGCTCTTGGCTCCTCTTTTTGGGAGCAACAATCGACCAGAGATGCTGGTGGCTGCAGGTCTCTGGTGTGTGGGAGCTGGGCATGGGCTTAAGTCCTGTGTTTGATCCCTGGAGTCACCCCACTATCTCTGTGTGGACACAAAGGGGTCAGAGCAGGACCAGGTGCTGCAAAAGACCCCGAAAAGCCAGGAAGCATTTTCATACTCAGGGCAACATCCCCTTTGAGGCCTCCCAGCATAGCCTTGTGGGATGGTGCCCACCCCCAGCACCTCCCTCCATGGCCCTGCTGGCACCTTCCCTTCCTTTCTGCTCCCCTTCCCAGATCCACAGTGCTGGCTCTGCCTCCTTTCTCGCCCCCTGTTCTCCCTCCTCTCCATCACCCGAGGACAGAGCTTTCCCTGTCTCTCTGACCCCTCAGCAGCCACGCCTGTCTCTGCTCCATCAGCCGCCGGCACGGCACGATGGCTTCGAACCAGCCAGAGGAAGAGCAGCCACGGGCGGGAGCAAAGCCGGTGCTGCTCCCTCCAGCTCCCCTCCTGCTCCCTCTCCCGCCGGGACAGGAATGAGCAGAGTCATGGGGCTGCAGAAACCTGAGCCCGGCGCTGATCGCTGGTGGCAGCTGGAGGCAGAGCCGGGCACAGCGAGGGGACACGGCCGTGCTGCGGGTGGGAGGCTCCAGGAAAAGCGTGGACCAGGCAGCACCCCCTGCACTGAAGGGCTGGACAGCAGCGTTGGTGCTGGAGGGGCTGGAGCCCCACTACACATCCCGTAGCACAGGCCTCTCCTAACAGCTCTGCAAAACCCTGTTCCCAGGGAAACTGAGGCCACCTCGAGCAACAAGCTCCTGTGAGTCCTCAGAGCTGCCAGAAGGTGAGGTGGGAAGGACCCCCACGGGTGCTGTGGGTCCTGCTTGAGCATGTCTGAATGATGCTGCAGGGAGTCAGACTCAGTGATCCCGATGGGTCCCTTCCAACTGTCCCTTCCCTTCTGTGACCCCATGCACCAGTGCATCCCTGCTGGGACTTGGGGTGACAGAGCCAGACACAGCTCCAGTTTCTGGCTTGAGTTTTGAGGCCACTGGTATCGAGGAGCAAGTTTCTAGAGCTGCTCAAGTAGAGCATGAAATGGGTGTAAATCCAGAATAATTCCATGAGGAGCAGCAGTGGTGGCACCTGCTGCCCCACTGCCCAGGCACCATCCCAGCCCCTCACAGAGACACGTGGGGGCAAAAATTCTCTTCTTGCTGGCTTTGATAAGGTCTCACCTTTGGGTCCAGCAGGAGTGGGGGGAGATGGGCTGTGCCTTTCCAGGGTAGCTGCTCTGGGCTCTGATTTGCATCAGTTTGGGCCACAAGCTGGGTTGGAGCTGGACTCTGCTTTGCAGTGACGTGACTCAGTCCATGCTATTAAATAACCTTGTACAGCAATGGCAAAAGCCTCCCTAAAACAGAATCACAGAATCCTTCGGCTTGGAAAACCCCTCTGAGATCATTAAGTCCAACCATTCCCCAGCACTGCCAAGGCCACCACTAACCCATGTCCCCAGGTGTCACATCTACATATACATCCCCCAGGGATGGGGACTCCACCACTGCCCTGGGCAGCTCTGCCAGGACCGGACAACCCTTTCTTGTAGAGAAATTTTCCCAATATCTAATCTAAACTTCCCCTGGCACAACTTGAGGCTGTTTTCTCTCATCCTGTCCCTTGTTCCCTGGGAGCAGAGCCCGACCTCCCCCCCCCAGCTCCCCCCTCCTGTCAGGACTTGCAGAGAGTGAGAAAGTCCCTCCTGAGCCTCCTTTTCTCCAGACTGAGCCCCCCCAACTCCCCTGTGCTCCAGACCACAGATTTAAATACAAAAATTGACGCTCTGTCCACTTGATTTTGTTTTTAAAAGTTGCCCTTTCTGAAAGGCAGCAGGTTGCTGCCATCCCTGCAGCAGCTGCATTTTGAATGAGCACCAAAGCCATGGTGCCAAAATTCAATTCAGCAGAGACAGCAAGGGACTGTGGTGGTTTCTAAAATGCAATTACACTGCTCTTCTCAAAACCAAAACCTCCCTGTGCCATTGCTTTATCCCCTGGCTTTACCATCACCACAGGAACATCGTGATACCATTACACACCCAGAGTCTCTCTTCCCATCAGGGCTGTAAATGTCCAGTTCTCCCCAGCCACAAAGGGTTGAGGGTTTGCAGCTCTCAGCACGGCAGAGCTGGGCTCTGAGGAGTATTGATCCTAAAGCTTTTCAGGGTCAGGTGCTTGGCAGCATCACAGAAAGTTTTGGTTTGCCAGAGGGATGCTTGTTTTGGGGAGGGTGAGGCACAGAGGTCCAGTGATCCCGGGACCCCTGCAAAGCAAGACTGAACATTAAGGAATATTGGGCTCATCTCCAGCACAAGCTGGGGGTTATGGGTCAATATCAAGGCAAATCAAGGCGAACCAAGGTACAGGGGCTCAAAGCAAGAACCTTCCTGGTGTTGAGGAACTCTGTGCCAGGCGTCTCAACCTCTCTCGGGGCATGGCAGACGCATCCTCTGGGTGCAGCCACCCCTCCCCTCCCCACTTTCCCCTTTCCAACCATTTTTGTTGTTCTGCTGCAGAGGAGCCATCCTTAGCTGTCCTGAACCACCCAACCTATTCCTGTCTGGGGATTCCTCCCGATCCCTGTAACATTAGAAAGTGCCATTATTGCTTTGCTTTTTGGCTCAAGGTAAGACTTTAACCCCTTCCTATCGGGAGCAGAGCCACCCAGCACTGCAGGTTCCTTGTGTTCCCCGTGGCTGGGTGCTGTGACATGGCCATGACCCTGCAGGACTCGGATCCTCTGGCTGAGGAACCTCTTCCTTTGGGCACCACACGTCCCTTGCGTGAGGAGCAGGAGGGAAGCTGTTGCTGCCCTGCCAAGAGGAGGCAGCTGGAGCAGTGCCACTGCTGCCCAAGGTGTTTTGTTTTGTTGAACAGCCATGCTCTAGGTTGTGAAATCTCATGTCTAACACATCCAGCTGGTGCCAGGGACACCAACTGCTCAGCTCATATGGTGCTCGGCTTCACAGGGCCTTCTGATCAGAGGTGGAATGGGGTCTGGGAGGAGAAAAGCTCACTTGGTGCTCTAACCAACCCTAACCTCGCCCCAGCGGGTGAGGGAGGGGATTCTCCCACTCTGCTCTGCACTGGGGTGGCCTCCCCTGCAATACTGTGGCAGTTTTGGGCACTTGGTGTGTTCAGCTGGAGGAGACTGAGGGAAGACCTCACTACAGTTCCAGCTTCCTCAGGGGGGGCAGAGGAGGGGCAGGCCCTGAGCTCTGCCCTGGGGGGATCAGGGATGGGACCCAGAGAATGGCCTGGAGCTGTGTCAGGGCAGGGTTAGGTTGGGTATTAGAAAGAGATTCTTCCCCCAGAGGGTGGTTGGGCACTGCCCAGGCTCCCCAGGGCAGTGGGCACAGCACCAAGGCTGCCAGAGCTCCAGGAGGGTTTGGATGATCCTCTGGGGCACAGGGGGTGACTCTTGGGGATGGGCCTGTGCAGGGCTGAGGATTGGACTCAATGATCCTTGTGGGTCCCTTCCAACACAGCACATTCTGTGATCCTGAGGAGAAACACATGGGATGCTCTATCCGTGAGCGATCCACACACAATAACCCTTCACGCCAGCCCAACATTCCTGCGACAAACCCACTCGCAAAAACCCCACTGAGATCCTCCATCGCCTGGGCAGAAACACCCCCAAACCCACTCGCAAAAACCCCACTGAGATCCTGCCACCACCTGGGCAGAAACACCCCAAACCCATTCACAAAACCCCACTGAGATCCTCCATCGCCTGGGCAGAAACACCCCAAACCCATTCACAAAAACCCACCCAGATCCTGCCACCACCCGGGCAGAAACGCCCCAAACCCCCCCGCTGTCCCCTCAGGCTGGGCGCGGCCGGCCCGGAAGCAGAATGCGAGGATGGCCAGCCTGCCCTTCATCCCGGGCCCCGAGAACCTGCGCCCCTTCACCCCGGCCTCGCTGGCCGCCATCGAGCAGCGCATGGCCGAGGCCGAGGCGCTCCGGATAAAGAGGCAGCATGTGGAGATGCCCGAGGAAGAGGAGGTCAAGCCCAGCAGCGACCTGGAAGCCGGCAAGAACCTGCCCCTCATCTACGGCGACCCCCCCCCGGAGCTCATCGGGACCCCGCTGGAGGACCTGGACCCTTTCTACAAGGACAAGAAGGTGAGGGGCAAAGCTCAGCCCATGGGTGGGCTTGGTGTTAGGTGTAAGTCCCAAGGAAAAGACCAAAGCAGGGACCTTCTCTCCCTTTTACCGTGCCCCAGGGTCTCCTCTTGATGATCCACAGCCCCAGACTGTGGTTGCTTCTCCCTGTTCCTTGGGAAAGCCCCAAGCCTTTGGAGTTGCAAACACGCGTAGAGGTCTCTCGTCTAACGGCAGCTCTTGGTCTGTGGGTGTGTCAGGGGTGTGCAGAAGGGTTAACCCATCTCCTTCCCCTCTTTTCTCCACAGACATTCATAGTCCTCAACAAAGGGAAGTCCATCTTCCGCTTCTCAGCCACCCCTGCCCTCTACATGCTGGGGCCCTTCCACCCCATCCGCAGAGGAGCCATCAAAGTGCTCGTCCATTCATATCCTTGATCTCTGGGATGCTGCTCTGCTGCTCAAACCCTGGTGCTCAGAGTGCAAACAGACCTGGGAGAGGGCTGAGAGAAGGGTTTCATGATGGTGTGGTGAGGAAGCCTCTTGGGCTGCCCCCCAACATGGCCAGGACCCACTGACCAGCCAACCAGTCCTTTAGGAGTGGGGGCTTGAAGGCTTTGGGTACCTTGGTGGCACCAAGAGCTCGGCCTTGGTTGGAGAAGGGAGGAATCTGTTTGGTTGAAGAAGGGAAGAAATCTAAGTGGTAGAGCTTCCTAGGAAGAGGTTGAAGGTGTTTGAGGACTGGAGAGACTTGGAAAGGAAGGGAAATGTTCACGGGTCAGGGGATCCTGTCCCACCTGGGAAGTGGGTGAGTTGGGGAGCTCAAAGGATTATTTGGGAGAGGGAAGGGAGAGGAACTGGGACACTGCAGTGCAGGGGAGGAGACAACTTGGGCAGTGCTGGGGCTTTTGGTGTGAGACAAGCAGAGATGGAAAGGCAGGAAAGGACCCCAAGAGCAGGAGGGGTGCTAGGGTGGGTGGGAAGTGATCCCAGCAGAGCTCTGGTGGCAGCAGGGGTTGGTGGCCAGGAGTGGGGCAGAAAAAGAGGAGGTGTTTGTGGCAGAGGGGTCAGAGAGGCAGGGAAAGCTGTATCCTGGGGTGATGGAGAGCAAGGAGCACAGGGGGCAAGAAAGGAGGCAGAGCCACACCAGGGAGCTGGGAAGGGGAGCAGAAAGGAAGGGAAGAGTCCAGGATCACACATGGGAGCAGAGGGTCCAAGGGAAAAGTGTGGGCACAGGAGGAGCAGGTCAGGGGGAGGGAGCAGGTCAGGTGGGAGCCAGGACAGGAGGAGCAGGGATGCTTGGCTTCATAACCGTGGGAAGGGGATGACCCAGGCAACAGCCACAGCATTTCTCCTTGACCAGGTTTTAAATTATTCAGCATGTTCATCATGATCACCATTTTAACCAACTGTGTGTTTATGACCATGAACAACCCCCCGGCGTGGTCCAAGAATGTGGAGTAAGTCGCTGTGACCTCCCCTGGCCATGGGGGCCACCCCAGCTTGACAGGACCAAGGCTGAGAGAGGGGTGTTGGGTTCCAGGCACCCTTCAGAGCAGGAGGGGTGTCACTGGAAAATGCTGTTGACCCTCTTGGTCTCAGGAGGAACCTATGCCAGGCATTGCAAAGAGTGTTTCAGAGCTACCCAAAACATGGTGGGGGCCTCTGAGCCCCCCCAGCCTCTAAGGGGGGGCAATTTCAAACTATGACAAGGCCCTATGACAGGAGTCCACTGTAGAGCAGGTTGGGTTGGGCTGGGTCACCGGTGACATTCTGGAGAGGGTGAGCAGATCCACCTGTCCAAGGGTCATGGACAACCTGTCCCAGGTGAGAGGGGGATATCCAGCATTTCCTGCTGTGGTTCTGCACAGTCAGGTCTCAGCGGGGTTTTACAGAGAGCATGGTGGTGTTGGGACATCAGCAGGGATCAGAGGTGTTGCAGAATAGTCCCCAGAGGGATGGGTACCTCAAGATGTCCCAACTTACCTTATGAGGTGAGGTGAAAAGCTCCCTCAGTGCTGAAGCACCCCAGAAACCCAGCAGCCCTCCAGACTCCGCTCCCCAGGGTGGTCCCATTGTCAGGAGTGGACAAAACCTCATCCTGAGCTGGCCCTTGGACCTTGGGGAGCATCCCCCGAGTCACTGCTCCCGTTCCAGATACGCCTTCACTGGGATATACACCTTTGAGTCCCTCATCAAGATCCTGTCGAGAGGTTTCTGCATCGACGACTTCACATTCCTGCGCGACCCGTGGAACTGGCTGGACTTCATGGTCATCTCCATGGCGTGAGTTTGGTGGGATGGGGGATGACAGGAGGTGTGCACACTGCTGAGTGCCTGGCAGAGACCCTGAAGCCCTTTCCTCTCCTGTCCTGCAGCTACATCACTGAGTTTGTGGACCTGGGGAACATCTCTGCTCTCAGGACCTTCCGCGTCCTCCGCGCCTTGAAAACCATCACCGTCATACCAGGTGGGACTTAACGAAGGGCTCTCCCCTCTGTGTCCTCCCCTGAGCTCAGATGTTCCCACCTTTCACAGCAATTCCTTGTTCTTTTGACAGCTCTAAGAGAAAACAGAGGAAATAAGGTATTCCATGCTTACAATTTTCCACAAAATTCAGCTTTTGGGTTGTTTGGCAGAAAAAGCCCCTGATGAGCCAGACATCATTTTTAGGGCTCCTTGGAGATGCCTTAAGGGGGTTTGTGCTCACAGTGGGTTTATGGGCTCCATAAACCAAATAGCTCAATTCTTGGAGCCACGAACTCAGTTTTGTCCCCACTGCTGAGCTTGCTTGGATTGAGATATTTAATGGCTATTGGTGCAAGAGCCACGTGGTGAGTGTTTAATATCACCCCAAACCTCCTGCCTGTGGTGTGAGGAGCACATTACCAATTATCTCTGATGGCTGTTCCTCAAATCTGATACCACCCTGCTTTGGTACCAGCTGATGCAAGCAGTGATCCCACAGAAGGGATCACTCAGACCCCTTGAAGAAGCACGAGACTGAACTGGAACTGATAATCCCTTGTGGTGAATAAATTCCGGTGTCCCTGCAGCCTCCAGATCTTTAGGGTACACGTTTGAACATTTTTTGCCTTCATCAAACAGGCTAAAAATTGTGTTTAGCAAAATGTAAACTGCTGCTTTTTTAGGGAATGACATCCCCCAGAGGCTCTGCAGAAATAGCAGTTGCAAAAATAAGCTGGTTTGAGAATGGCTGACCTTGGCCATTCCCCAGCCAGACAAACCCTTGGAGAACAGGGTTTTACCTCAATAGTTTGGGGAGCAAGGAGCAGGCGTGATGAGAGGGTTGAAAATCACGTCTTTGGAGAACTGCCTCCACATGAGAAAGCTCTGTGCCCAGAGATGCTTTTAGGATCAGTGTTGGGATGTCCCAGCATCACCCATCACCCGTGCAGACCTTGGGTGATGGGAACAACATCCTCCCTGGCAAAAGCCCACCAAGGATCCGTGGATGAGCCTCCTCTGTGGAGGAAGCAGCGATGCTGGGAGGGGGAGATGAGTTAATCCAGATGCTTAATGCAGATGTCACTTTGTCATCTTCACTTGGACACACTGGGGATTTCCAGCTTGAAGGATCAGGACGGAGGGTCTGGCTGGGTTCCTGACCACCCAAGGGACAGCAACACATGTGCTGTTGGACCACAGAGGTTTTCCTGGAGCTGAGGGAGGTGCTCAGCATCGTGCAGCTGGGCCAGCAAGAGCTTTTCCATGTGCCACTGTAGTGGTTTGGGCCAAAAAAGGCCAGATTGTGACATCTGGGGGAAACAGAAAGTCCAAAGGCACTGACAGGCTGGGGTGAGCTTTGGCTCATGATGTCTCAAGGTTGGGATGGGGAGGCTTGACCAGCACCAGTCCAAGGGGGAGAGTTCTGGGGGAAGGGTTTTTACTGCTCAGCAATGTGTGGGGACAGAGGGACAGCTGGGATGTGACACGGGACACAGAGCTGAGGGTCTGAGCCCATGGGAGGGGAACTTGGTGACGCCACATATCCCCACCAGATCCGGCAGCTTTTGGGAACGCCACAGCACGTTCCCCCACGATTAGCAAAGGAGCAATTAGCTCAGTGGTGACACAACTTCTCCTCAGGGCTGAAGACGATCGTTGGGGCTCTGATCCAGTCGGTGAAGAAGCTCTCAGATGTCATGATCCTCACGGTTTTCTGCCTGAGCGTGTTCGCCCTGATCGGCCTCCAGCTCTTCATGGGCAACCTGCGGCAGAAGTGCGTGCGGTGGCCCCCTCCCAGCATCACCTTCCTGGGGGACTTGGAGCTGGACAATGACACGTTGGTCAACTCAACATTTTACGACTTCGTGGATGACTTTGCCAGCAACTTCACCAGCAACTTCACTGGCAACTTCACCGGCAACTTCACTGGCAACTTCACCGGCAACTTCACCAGCAACAGCACCTTTGATTTCGAGGCCTACATCAGCGATGAAGGTAAGTAAATGCTCACGCAGCCCCTTCTCTCCACACCCATCACCCTGGTTGGCTCCTCTGTTTCCCTGCTCTTCCTGTGCCAGAACAAGATGGTTTGCTCACTTGGATCTTCCTGCCAGGGTGCTTTGCAAGGAGATGTGGCTGGGGGGTGAAACGGGTTGTGCACACACACAGGAGGCACAGATGGGATCAAATCCACCTTGACAGGGAAAATGTGGTCCTCCTGGACAAGCTAAACTCCTCCAGAAATGTTTCACCATTGGAAAAAACAGTGTCTCCATCTCTCACTTCCTAGTGAGGGCACAATCTCCCACTGGAGTGGTCAAAGCAGGGAGACCAAACCCTGCAGGAGCAGATGGGGCTTCAGGTGGAAATAGAGAGGGAAGGATGCAGGAATGACATTTCTCACCCACTTTCACAGCTGCATCATATCTGGGTCCTTCCCCAGGTCCACAGTGCCCCGTGAGCATTGCAACACCACGACAGCCACAGGAGGGGAAGGAGGGAGAGGGAGAGGTGGGACCAGCACAGGTCCTCAGGCAGTCATCCAAAACTGCTACTTTCCTATCCCTTCTTTGAAAATTTGGTCCCAAAGTGTGGGATTTTGTTTGTTCTTTGGTTTTGAGTTTTTGGGTCTGCACTGGAGTTGTAAGGAGGAGCTTTAAGGAGCCCTGGTCTGTGAGCAGGGTGAGCTTCTCCACTGGGCAGGGGATGGGAGCAACAGGAGGAAGGCAAAAGCCATGGAGCAGTAGCAGTTTCACAAGGTTTTTCTGGGACTCCTGCAGTCCCCCATGCTCACTGTTCCCGGGGAATGTCCTGCTTTTCCCAGCAAAACAAGCCAGCCCTGATCCTTTGACCACATGTTAACCCACTTTCCCAGGAGCCCTGACCCTGGCCAGCTCCAAAGCTGTTCATGGGCTTGGGAGTCCTCTGGTTAAACACTGCCATGAACTAGCACCAACACAAAGAGTAAAGTCAGAAGAGATACCCCAGTGTCCAATGCTGGGATTCAGTGACATTCCCTGGGACTCAAGGAATTTCCCTGACAGCAAGTTGCTACCAGGAATTTGAAAATCAATAAAATTTATTTATGTATTTATTTATTGTTATGTCTTGCTCTTTCCCCAACTCCAAAGCCAATTTCTACTTCCTGGAGGGAGCCCTCGACGCCCTGCTCTGCGGGAACAGCAGCGATGCCGGGTGAGTGCAGTCCCTGCTGGGGGCTGAGGGCCCCTCTGGATCCCTGGGAGGGGATGAGGGAGGTGGTGCAGCCAGCTTGGGATGGGACAGGTCTGGGAATGTTGCTCTGCAGGCGAGCAGTCTGGGCATCCCAATGGATCAGCCTGGGAGGGATATCAGTCTGGGCATCCCAATGGATCAGCCTGGGAGGGATATCAGTCTGGGCATCCCAATGGTATCAGCTTGAGGGGGGATATCTGTTTGAGCATCCCAATGGATCAGCTTGAGGGGGGATATCTGTTTGAGCATCCCAATGGCATCAGCTTGAGCAGATATGGACCCAGGCATCCTGACTGTATCAGCTTGGAGGGGGTATCAGTCCAAGCATCCCAACTGCATCAGCTTGGGCGGGTATGGGTTGGAACATCCTGCTGGTATCAGTTTGGGGGAGTATCAGTCTGGCCATCCTGACTGTATCAGCTTGGGGGGGGGGGGTTTGGTCCAGGTACCCTGGTGATGTCAGCTTTGGGGAAAGTGGTATCAGTCCAGTATCACATTTGGGAGGCATCACTCTGGGCATCCCAACTGTATCAGCTGGGGAGGTTGTTGATGGGAGCACACTGATGGTATCAGCTTGAGATGGTATCTCTCAGGGCATCCTGACTCTATCAGCTGTGGGGAAGGTGATATCAGTCCAGGCATCCAAACTGTATCAGCCTGGTGGGAAGGGTCCCCCCAGTGCATCTCCACGTCCCCAGGGCTGGAGGGTTTGGCTGTGGGTGCCAGAAGGGGCAGTTTGGGGGGCTCACACCAGCTGCCCCCGTGGCTCCTTTGGCAGGAAGTGCCCCGAAGGGTACGAGTGCATGAAGGCAGGGAGGAACCCCAACTACGGCTACACCAGCTACGACACCTTCAGCTGGGCCTTCCTGGCCCTCTTCCGCCTCATGACACAGGACTACTGGGAGAACCTCTTCCAGCTGGTAGGCACCACATTTCTGTCCTTGTGCAAGAGCTCCTCTTGTTTCCGTGCTGCCCCTGGTCTGAGACAGGTGAAAAGTCATTGACTGGAAATTTGTGGGTCCTTGTCTTGTGGTTTATGGATCCAGAGGTGGTGCCTGGTCCCATCCAGTTCCCTGACCTGAGAGTGCAGTTTATTTTCCAGGGCAAAGCCCGGGGGTGCTGCAGTGGTGCTGTCAGCTCTGTCATGGAAATTAGGGATTTATAAGGGTATTGCAGCTCTGGCTTGAGCTGAGGGAGAGGGTAAGGAGGACATGTCACTTGTCCCCTGATTGAGTCATCCTCTAGGGAGACACCACAAAACCTGGGTCCAGAGGTTGTTCAGGCTGTTCTATGTCCTCTGGAAAGGATTATACCCAGATCCAGAGTGAGAAAAGGACCACTTTGTCCCAAGGGTGAGACCTGAGAAGCTGGGGGCTGAGGGACATCAGCCCCTCCCAGCACAGTGAGTCACTGATGAAATACTGTCCCACCTCCACACGTGCTCACAGCCCTGGGAACAAGAGGGCTGTGCTGAGACTTATGGCTGCTTCCCACAATTCCTAACCCAGTGCTGCAGGAAGGTCCACTGGGCAATGACCAGCCCTTGGGGAAGCTGGGAGCAAAGTATTTTCCTCCTCCCACAAATGGGAGGGTGTCCCAGTGCAGGACATTTCCTTGGAATCATCGCCAAAGCGATGCCGTGACAGCCCTGCCTCCTCTTCCCACAGACACTGCGTTCAGCAGGGAAAACCTACATGATCTTCTTCGTGGTGGTCATATTTCTTGGTTCCTTCTACCTCATCAACCTCATCCTCGCAGTGGTGGCCATGGCTTACGCTGAACAGAACGATGCCACGCTGCTGGAGGAGCAGCAGAAGGAGGAGGAATTCCAGCAGCTCTTGGAGCAGCTGAAGAAGCAACAAGAGGAGCAAGAAAAGATGGTTGGTGGGAAGTGTGGAGGCCGAAATCTCAGGAATGGGGGAGAAAAGGGAGTGTGGTGGTGCATCCATTTATGTAAAATCCAAGCATGAGGCCCATTTGGTTCATAGGAAGGGAAGATAATCACTGAGTAACTATTCTGTGGGTCACAGATGAATCAAAAAGTTGAGATACAATCCTGTGGGGTAAAAAAAAAAAGGCTGAAAATATTTAATTTCCACATCCAAATCCCAGGACGGGGAGCACTGGGAGGCAGCAGAGAGGAGCAGCATGGAGGGGGGGTGGTGTTTGAGAGGAGGAGGTGAGGGACGAGGCATGAATGTCACCAGAACTAACACTGAATCTCCCTGGAGCACATCAGGAGCCTGGCAGGGAGCTCGGGCACAGAGTCATCAGGGTACAGGGGTGGTGCCCAAGGAAGATGGGGCAGCTGCAGCAAAGCTCAATGTGTTTGCAAACCGTTTGCTTTGGCCTGGAGACAGAAGAAAGGGTTTGAGAGACCCTGAGTCTCACTGGGGAAGTTCTGGTGCCCTCGTGGGAGCCAAGGAAACCTGGTATGGTGGAAGATGTCCCTGCTCATTGCAGGAGGGTTGGAAATGAATGCTCTTGGAGGTCCCTTCTTCAAACCATTCTGAGATTCCATAAATGCCAGGTCGGAAGGGTCCTCCAGGATCATCTGTTCCAACCTCTCTTGGCAAAAGCATGACCTGGACAAGAGACATTTGCTCTGTTGTGATCCCAGGGTGTTACCTTAGCCCCTTTTTGGTCCTTGGGTGTGTTTTTTCAGCACAATGTGCCTGTAAAAACATGACCAAAAGCCTCTGTGATGTCTGGGACCATCTCTAATCATCATTTTGATCTACGTCAGCAACATCCACGGGAGCCATCCCTGCAAATCTGTTAGTTTGGGCAAAACACCAGCTCCCTTGCATGCAGAGAGACACAAAACAATGTTTGACTGTCTCTAGAGCTTATCTGTGCTGAGCCACAACATCCTCTGAGGAAGTGGCTTGTTTTTATCTGGCTGCTCCTGTTTGCAGGATGGGGCTGAGCAAGCCCTGCCCGAGGGACTCCAGGGTTGGGGGGTCAGGCTGAGCAAATTAACCGGGAGTTGGCCAGAGGCTTTATTAAGGGATGTTATTCCTTTCTAGGCCCACAGACAAATTAAAAAGACAGAGAGAATAAGGCTGAGTGTGAGGGTAAAGCACCTACAAGAAATGGGGGCTTGGATCTGTTTAATATGCCACGACTGAGCGTGGAAACTGTGTTGGATCTCAGCGATGTGCAGTGGGAATAGGGATGTTCCCAATCCTCTGTGGCATCCTTAGGGTGTAGTAAACTTCAGATGTTAATAGCAGTGTCAGAAAGAAAAAGAAAAAAAATAAAAATAAATAATTTGTTGTGCAATAATACAATACCTGGGGGGGAAAAGTAATTAAATTTTGATCCAAACATTCACAAATTCAGTGCAAGTCCAAAAATCTTGGAGATCACACTTCAGAATTATCTTTGAAGATTTTCCTCTTTCCCATTTGGAATGAAAGCATGTTTCAAAGGCTAAATTTTCCTGCAAGACAGAACTGAAAAGGTTTGCATAGTTTTGTCCTTATGAATTATTCCTCTTGACCAAATTTGAACAGATTTAATTCATCAGTGCAAGTGAAAGGGAAAGGCTTGGAACTGCTGGTGAGCTACTGCAAAGAGGAGTAGAATTCCTGAATGGTTTGGGTGGGAAGGGACCTTAAAGCCCATCCAGTCCCATGGGCAGGGACACCTTCCACCAGCCCAGGTTGCTCCAAGCCCCGTCCAACCTGGCCTTGGACACTTCCAGGGATGGTTTTCCCAAGCCCTCCCCAGCCTGGTGCCCGTTGTGGGATGGTCCCAGGGGCCGTGGGCAGGGGGTGATGGGGCTGTGGGTTGTTGTGCAGTTGCAGGACCGGCGGTCCAGCAGTGGTTCCCTGCCCAGCACTGTGGCCGAGAAGGAGCAGAAGGAGCACGACTCGGACCTCAACAGTGACCAGGACAAGGCCAAGGACTGCAACGGGCAGGTGATCCCCAAGATCACCCTGCAGAGATCTGATACAGTGATTGATGTACGTGCTTGGCTCTCCCTCTGCCATCCCCTGAGGGTGCCCACCCTGACAAACCCCCCTGGAGGGATGGGCCTGTGCCCAGCTCATTGTGGGTTGGGTCCTACGAGCCTCCAGCCCACCTGGGGTTCCCACCTTGCACCCCGAGGTCTCTCCACACCATGCCCTTTTTTCTGCCTGCTGTCCTTCAGTGCATTAAACAGCTTCTCCCCTTCCATCCCTTTTCTCCTTCTAGTTCAACCAAACTTTTGAGCCAGAGAAACAGGACCACAACCACCTCACTGTGGGCAACCAAGACGGGCCAGGACTCGAGAAGAGGGTGGGAAGTGCCATCAGTGTCATCTCCAACGCTGTAGAAGGTACATTTCCCCCAGCCTGGGTGAGGGCTGTGGGTGCCCTGTGGTGTGTTTGTGGGTTTGGGTTGGTGACAGTGGCTGTCCCAAATCCCCAGCCCCACGCAAGGAATGACTCTGGGCCTGAGGTCTCCATACAGGGTCAGGGCACTGCAGTGATGCCCAAGCAAGGCTTTTCATCCTAGCTCACTTGGATGATGCCTGGAGGCAATAATCCAATATCTCACACAAATTAGGGATTACAGTTGATTAGAGAAGTCTCCAGAGCCAATTTCCCAGGAGCTGCTGCCTCAGCTTCAGCAAAAAATGCCATGAACTCAGCAACAGCAGGCTCTGTCCTCCCTGGGAACGGGAACAAACCCCTCTGGCCACCCCAGAGGAATTCCCTTGGATGTCCCTCCAATCTCAGTGTGGCAGGGACACCTCAAATCCTGCCCAGGGGCTGAGAGCAGGATTGGACCAACAGTTCCCTGACTGATCTACCTTTCCATCCCTCTCCAGCTGGGAGGGTAAAGTCTGCAATGTCGCTGTGCCTGGGCATGGGAGGGCTCCTCCTTTTGGGAGCCCCCATATTAAACTCATAGGTGGTCTAGGGCTGGTTCAGGGCCTCAGGAGAAGTCACTTCTAGAGGGCACTTGCCCACCAGGGTAAGGACAGGATAATCCTGCACTGACATCATCATCCTTTCCTGCCCTCAGAGCTGGAGGAAGCTCACCAGAAGTGCCCGCCCTGGTGGTACAAATTTGCCCACACCTTCCTGGTCTGGAACTGCTGTTTGCCGTGGGTGAAGTTGAAGGAGTTTGTCAAGATGGTGGTGATGGACCCCTTCGTGGACCTGGGCATCACCATCTGCATCGTGCTCAACACACTCTTCATGGCCATGGAGCATTACCCCATGACAGAGGAGTTTGAGAACGTGCTGTCTGTGGGCAACCTGGTAGGCAGCTCTGGGCAATCCATCCTTCCCATTTAGGGGCACAGCAGCCCCATCTCCCACCCCGTGGGCAGATGCCCCCTCTGCTGCTGTTGTGATATATTCAAACAGTGTGGATTCCTGCCTGAAAACACATCCCTGAGAAAGCACTGCAGGGGTCTGACCACAGCATCCCCGCTCAGGGCTGGACCCCAGGATGGTCCAGATCAAGGGAATTGGTGTGGGGGGGGATCCATCATTCCTGCTGCAGCCTCTGCCTGCCTTGGTGCATCTCCAGTGTGGCCACAGCCTTGCAGAGCTCTCCTGAGCCATCCTCTACATCACAACCCAGGGTCAGGCACGAGCTGCTGCCAGCCCTGGCTGACACCACGCTGTCCTCGTGATGCTGGGTGGCCACGGGGCAGAGAGGGGGGAATTCCAGACTGTGGGAGCAAACCGGTCCCCACCGAGCAGGAAGAAACAACACTGGCAGCACTAAAAATAATAATAATCAGGGCTTTTCCGTGTGAAATCACTGCAAATCTGAGCTGTCCTGATTTTATAGGTGTATTTAACACCCAGCTGTGGTTACTCCTGCTCTGAGCTCAGGGCAAGTGGCTTTGAGCTGGATGGAATCTGCTGGTGGGACAAGACCAGGAGGCCCCTGATAGCAGGGGAAAATGCATTAAGGGATGGGAGAGCTCCCATCTCTTCTCCTCTCACCTTGCCCTGCTCCAGCACTTGCTGAGACCTCTCTGAGCACAGGCCCTGGAGTGACAGATGCCAGTGGTTGTGCCCAGGCGGGCAGGACGCCGTGCAGCACATTTCTGCTTTGTCTCTGATTTCAGGCAGGAAATACAAGGGGATTAATGGGCTGGTGCTCAAGGCACGGTCGCGCTGCAGGATGGCTCCAGCCCTTCCTTTGGGCCAGCAGCTTTTCTGGCTGGGCATGATTTGCTGGGAAAGGGCCAGGTAGGGATGGGAGCAGGAGAAGTAGCTCCCACTGAGATGTGGTTTCCCCCCAGATTTCCTGTCTGTGCCAGAATTAAAGCTGCAGTGCTGCTGCCTGTCCCATGCAGGCTGTAAAGGGCAAGAGCAGGGATCAGCTGGCAGGAGCAGAACAGGGGGTGTTTGTGAGCTGGCATTCAAAGGGCACGTGGGGGCCATCCCTTGAGATACTGGAACAGGAGCAGAACAGGGGGCATTTGTGGGCTGGCATTCAAAGGGCACACAAGGGCCATCCCGTGGGATGCTGGAGCATGAACAGAGCAGGGGACATTTGTGGGCTGGCATGCAAGGGCCATGTGAGGACCATCCCCTGGGATGCTGGAGCAGAAGCTGGGATGTTGCAGCCTCTCCTCCCTGCCCAGTGGAGGCATAGACCTGTGTGTCCCAACACTATCCACATCCAGGCCAAATCTGTCCCCGGGCCCCTCTGCACGTGCTGTGTCATGGAATTGCATCGAGGATGGTAATTGTCACATCGCTGAGCCCTCTCTGGAGTAACGTGATAATACACAGAGCTGTTGTAGTCCCAGGGAAGGAGTAATGTGTAAAATTCAGATCAGCTGTCACAAGGCTCAGGGAGGGACAGGGGCATCCCAGTAGCAGCCCAGTTCCCAGTGCTGGGTGTCTGTGATTCACCAGTTATTCAGAAGGGGTCCCTTTGCCAGTGAAACTTTTATTTTTAATTTCCAGCAGCTAACTCACACCTCTGTGTCCCTCCAGAAGCAGTCACCAGTACTCCCAGTCTGGCTTTACCAGCCACACTGGGCAGCAGCTGGGGAGCTTGTTCCCAGCTGGGACTGGACCTAAAGGGGCAAAATTCTTTGGGAATACACCAAAAAAGAGAGGTGCTGCCCACCCCCACCCCAAGGCTCTGCACTGCTCTACAACCGAAGTGACAGGGTGCTGCTTCCCACAGGTCTTTACAGGGATCTTCACGGCGGAGATGGTCCTGAAGCTCATTGCTCTGGATCCCTACGAGTACTTCCAGCAGGGCTGGAACATCTTTGACAGCTTCATCGTCACCCTGAGCCTGGTGGAGCTGGGCTTGGCCAACGTGCAGGGGCTCTCCGTGCTCCGCTCCTTCCGCTTGGTAGGTGCCGGGGAGGACCCTCAGTGCCTGGGGGTTGTGGCTGTGATTGGCACCCGGGTGGAGATGGCTTGTTCAGCCTCCTCTATAGTGGTCACCAACTAAAGATAACACTGAGAGTCAAGCTAAATATTTAGGAAAGTCAGAGCCTGTGCTCTTCCCAGAGTGTTTGACCCCTCCTGCCTTCATAAAACAGCCACGTGGAGGTGTGATCGCAGCGTCACAGCCTTGCTGACACCCTGTGGCAACGGCAGCCCCAAGCCAAACCAACACCCCCCAAGCCAAACCAACACCCCCCAGGCCAAACCAACACCTCCCCTCCTTGCTCCCCACAGCTGAGGGTCTTCAAGCTCGCCAAGTCCTGGCCCACCCTCAACATGCTCATCAAGATCATCGGCAACTCCGTGGGCGCCCTGGGGAACCTCACGCTGGTTCTGGCCATCATCGTCTTCATCTTCGCCGTGGTGGGGATGCAGCTCTTCGGGAAGAGCTACATTGAGTGCGTGTGCAAGATCTCCGTGGACTGCACCCTGCCCCGCTGGCACATGAACGACTTCTTCCACTCCTTCCTCATCGTCTTCCGCATCCTCTGCGGGGAGTGGATCGAGACCATGTGGGACTGCATGGAGGTGGCCGGCCAGACCATGTGCCTCATCGTCTTCATGATGGTCATGGTCATCGGGAACCTCGTGGTGAGTTCTTAGGGCTGGGGTGGAAGGTGGGGGACAGGGGCAGAGGGTGTGGTGTGGTGGGGACAGTCACAGAATCACAGAACCACAGACTCACAGAATCAGCCAGGTTGGAAAAGACCTCTGAGGTCATTGAGTCCAACCCATGACCCAACCCCACCTTGTCAACTAGACCAGAGCACTGATGCCACATCCAGTCTCTTCTTAGACACCTCCAGGGTCGGTGACTGCACCACCTCCCTGGGGAGCCCATTCCAATCCCAATCACTCTTTCTTCCTACTGTCCAACCTAAACCTCCCCTGGCACAGCTTAGGACTGTCCAGCTCAGCTCATCTACAGGGCTGGTTGGAGCTGGACAGGAGCACTGGAACAGGGCTCTACCTCCCTCCATGGGCCTGGTGGGACGTGCTGTGTGTCAGCCCTGTGTGAAACAGGGTGAGAAGCGATTTCTGAGGGACCTTCAGCTGAAACCAGATCAGGGACTGAAGGGGAAACTGAGGCACGGAAAACAACAACGGGCTTTAGCCAGAGCCAGGAGCAACTCTGGGACAAAAGAGGGCTCAGCTTCAAGCTGCCTTTCTTCTCCACTTGGCTTTTCAGGCTTTCCTCCCTGTTTCCCCCCCTCCTGCAGTGAGGGATGGAGGCAGTGCTCTATCCAGCACATCCCATGGCTGGCCCTTTGCTTTCGGCAGCAGCCCCCCCCCCCCAAGGCTCTTGCAGATTCCCAACATTCCCAGTCCTCACCTCAGTCCAGGAGGTGATACCCTGGACCCCTCTGCACCTCCTTCCATGGGTCCTGGTCCTCATCACCCCCTCCCTGCCTACCTCCCTCCCCACTAATCCAAGCTGCTCACTGCCTGTCCTGCAGGTTTGCAAGTTCCAGGAGAGCATGAAATCCTTTCTAAACTTGGTAACCCTCTCGCTGGCAGCTTTGAAGCTTGTTTTCCAGCCTGCGTGGGCCCTGCTCTCCCTTCTTGAGGAGCAGGGCAGGGGAGGGAAGCGGCCGCCTGCGAGTTGCTCCTGTTACTTGCCGGGGTTGTGTAAGCCTTTTGGAATTTGCTTTGAAAAACTATCTGCCCGGGGAGCTGCTGACGCCTCCGTCCCCAGGGCGGCTGGCAAAGCCCTCCAGAGGGGTGAAAAGAGCCCCAGGGAGAAACACAGAGCACCCCATGGCTTGGGTCAGGAACTGGGCAGCTTGGTGTGTCCCACTTCCAGGACAGAAAGTTGGGATTTGGGTGCTGCTTGGTTTCCCGGGCTAATGAAAAGTATTGAGGCTTTGAACTGGTCCCCAGAGCAGGACAGAGCTCGCCCCAGGGTGTCCTGGTGTGCTGGACAGACAAAGGGAGCAGCCCTGTGCACCCCTTGAGCTGCCCATCACCCACCATTCAGCAATGGTTTGTGATGCCACCTTTGGAGGGGCACCCATTCATTTGGATTGTAATGCTGAATGAGGCTGAAAATCACCCATAAACAGCTGGAGCCTCTGCAGAACCATCTGCAGAGAGTGCAGGAGACTGGGAATCACAGCTGGGCCTGTGGAAGCATTCCTTCTTCTGGAGCTTGTTTTTGGAATAGGACAGCCCATACACCCCTCCAAGACACTCTCCTGGAAAAGACAGGGGGGCAGTAGGATTTTCAGCTGGTGGGGCCAGCGACAGCCCTTCCAGAGGTGCAGGGGTTCCCCTCCCTGAACTGCACCCCAGCCCTGGCAGCTCCTGCAGGGAAACATGGAGCACAAACACGTAGAGAGCCGTCTCTGCCCCCTTCATCCCCTCTGCCAGGCTCTCCTGGCCCTGTCTCAGGTATTTCCAAGTCCTGGAGCCTGTCCCAAGTATGCCAGAGCCTCCCAAGTATCCCAGAGCAGGGAGGTGTGTGTTTCTCTCTGCTTCCCCTGCGGGAGGAATAAGGTGACGGGTTGGTCGTCCTTTACTGTTAATGACACTTTGAGCATTTCCTTTGGGGTTATTAAGGGAAAAGGGAGGAAGTCAGTCGGGTGACAAGGTAAGGGACTCCTGTCCAACAAAGCCAGAGCCAACGGCAGCTATTAGCTGTAATTGGTACTTAACGTAAGCATTAAACTGATGGGCCTGGGGGATTTATTTAAAGACGAGGTTTAAGGCATATGGTATGAGCCATGTGAAAGCAGCAGTGACCTTGGATAGCAGCTAATTCCCGGCTCAGATACTCTGCTGGCACAACAGGGCACAAACATCAACAGCTGTGGGCTGGGCCCATCTCTGCTCCAGGCAGTGGGTGCCTGGCTGGGTGCTGGGGTGCCTGTCCCACTCCTCTTCCCATGGGCTGCTCCAGATTTCTGGCATGCAGTGAGTCAAACTGTGCCAGGGGAGGCTGTGGAGGGGCCCAGTCATGTTTTGGGCATGGTGAAGTAGGAGAGATCTAAAGGAAGCAGAAGAGCCCATGTTTGGAGCTGTACAGAGCATTTGCATCCCCATGAGCTGAGATGAAATCCCACTTTCCATGGAGCAGAGCAGTTTCTGGGAGACAGGGATGAGGTGGGGGAGGCTCAGGCTCCTCTGTGGCACTGGGGTGTGGGAGACCCTCAGGAGCATGCTGGGCATCTGAACTACCAGGGAAGAGGAGAGGAAGAGTTGCAGCAGGGAGGACAACAAGCAGGAGCTTTCTGCCTGGGGAGAGAAATGACATAACCATAGAATCAGAGAATCCTAGAATGGTTTGGGTTGGAAGGGAACTTAAAGATCTTCCCATTCCACGCCCCCGCCATAGGCAGGGACACCTTCCACTATCCCAGGTTGCTCCAAGCCCTGTCCAACCTGGCCTTGGACACTTCCAGGGATCCAGGGGCTTCCCCACCAGAGCTGAGTTGCATCCCTGTGGGTGGTGGGGAGTCCCACATGGGGACCAGCCAGGCCAAGAGCTCCAAGAGACCAGAGGGAGGGACGTGGTGAAGCTGGTTTGAGAGGGGCTGAAGCCATGATTGGTATCACTTACAAATGGATCAGAAGGACCCAGGCAGCTGGGAGTGATGCTGAGGGCATCAGAGCCCAGGAGGAAGTGAGGAGGAGCACATCCATGTCCTCCAGGAGATGAGACTGGCAGCTCTGCAGTCCCCAGAGCTGGGTGAGGGGAGGACAGAGCCCACGACACGCTCAGCGAAGGGGTTTCTCCACAGCCCCTTTGGGTGATCCCTGTGGCGCTGAGGCTGGCGCTGGATGTCAAGGCTGGTGGTTTTGGGGTTTTGTGTCCCCCCCCTCCAGGTGCTGAACCTCTTCTTGGCTTTGCTGCTGAGCTCCTTCAGCGCCGACAGCCTGGCGGCGTCGGACGACGACGGGGAGCTGAACAACCTGCAGATCGCCATCGGCAGGATCAGCCGCGGCATCGCCTTCGCCAAGGCCACGCTCCCCACGCTGCTCCGGCGGCTCTGCAAGGGCAAGAAGGTGGCCCCGGAGGAGGAGCAGGAGCCCAGCAAGAGGGAAAACTCCGTGCTGAACCACGTGGAGACCACCCAGGAGACCAAGTCGGGGGGGTACCTGGACGGGATCGCCGGCAAGGAGCATATCTTCATGGACGAGCTGGATCACATGAACTTCATCAACAACCCCAACCTGACGGTGCAGGTCCCCATCGCCTCGGAGGAGTCTGACCTCTACGAGGAGACCAGCACCCAGTCTGAGACCGAGGACACCACCAAGGTAAGGAAGGCAGGTGGAAAGGTCTCACCCCAAACCAGGGATTGCCCCGTTCTTGCTCTGCTGCTTAAAGAATGATGCTCGTTTGAGTTACTTTTAGATTTTCCACAGTGTGTGGCAGGAGCCAAACTTGGGTTTTCCCAACCTGGCATTTCCCAGTGTAACCTGGAGTTGGGGGTTGGGTCCAAGCAGAGGTTTGGCCTGTTTGGGGTCAGATCATGGGGTTATTGCTAATGCCAGAGGGGCCCTCACACCCCAGGGATGGTGCAGGGACCAGAGCACTCAGTTTGGGGTTAAAGATGTTCCAGAGGAATCTGATGCCAGGAAATCTGCTGATGGCACTATCATTGGATCCACTGCTAATGCCTCCAAAAGCATCACCAGGGGGGGCATGAAACCAGATGGAGGAGCTTAGCAGGAGTGAACATGAAGCGATGCAGGTTGGATCCAAAGCTGATCAGACAGCTGAGATCAGCACTGAGGTGTGGGGGGAGCTGTCAGGGTTCATGGGACACTGATCACCTCAATGGGAGGGTGGCAGGGGGACAAGAAACTCAGGAATAGTGGACACAGAAAGGAGGGTGATGGGCTGGTGGGAAATTGCTGCTCACCCCGAGGTCCTGGGGAAATGTGGGGAGGCTGAGGGTGCCGTGGTGGAGAGGAGCAGATAAATCAATCTGGAAAGCGGTTTCATAGGAATAAAAAGCAGTTCTGACGGGGGGTTTGTCGTGACTGTCGATGGCAAACGTGTCTGCCCAGGAGCTGGGGGGCCTGTGGGAAGCTCTGTCCCAACTAGTCCTGTTGTGTGCCAGGATAGAAGGCAGCACGGTGCTGCTGAGCACCTGGATGTGACTGCACAGGGAGCCCAGGAAGAATGAACCAGAGTTCCCAAAACCCTGGAGCCACTCACCTCCCCCCTTCTGCAGGATCCTCACAGCTCAGTGAAATGACAGCGGCAAAAAGAGGAGACTATCCTGATTTCTTTGTTTTTAGCTGGGAAAACAGTGCTTTCAGCAGCTGGGGCTGCAGGAGGGGACAGAAGGAAAGGTGGTGGCTGGCTGTGACCCATTGTGACCGTGTTGCTAAGCTGTACTCAGAGGGGACATGTGTGCCTGGAGCACCTTGGTCAAAGCAATGGGCAAGGAGGGGTTGTGCTATCATTCCCTTTATTGTCGCCAGCAGGAGGGCTGAGAGTTGGCATTTTCCCCCAAATTTTTCCTACTACAGCTGCAGTCCCGTGGCACTAATCCCCTGCACACCCAGCCCGTGCCAGAGCACGCTGCACAGAAGTGATGCTAATGCCAACCTGGCCACCACAGGGGGACACACCCAGGCTGGGCTGTGAGGTCCCCAGGGACCTCAGTTCACTGCCACCATGATGTGCTTCCTTTAGGCCCTGGAAGGGGCTCTCAGGTCTCCCTGGAATCTTCTGCCTTTTAGCCAGGCAGAAAAGGGCCTGGGAGTTTGGATGGACAAGAAGCTGAACATGAGCCAGAGTGTGGCCAGGTGACCAAGAGGGCCAATGGATCCTGGCCTGGCTCAGGAACAGGGTGGCCAACAGGTCCAGGGAAGTGATTCTTGCCCTGAACTCGGGGCTGGTGAGGCCACCCCTGGAGTGCTGTGTCCAGTTCTGGGCCCCTCAGTTCAGGAAGGACATGGAAGGGCTGGAGCAGGTCCAGAGAAGAGCAGCGAGGCTGGGGAAGGGACTGGAGCACAAGTGCTGTGAGGAGAGGCTGAGGGAGCTGGGGGGGCTCAGCCTGGAGAAGAGGAGGCTCAGGGGAGACCTCCTCACTCTCTGCAACTCCCTGACAGGAGGGGGGAGCCAGGTGGGGGTCAGGCTCTTCTCCCAGGCAGTGATCAGTAAGACAAGAGGGCTGGGTCTGCAGCTGTGCCAGGGGAGGTTTAGGTTGGAGAGAGTAATCAGCCATTGCAAAGGGCTGCCCAGGGAGGGAGTGGAGTCACTGTCCCTGGAGGTGTTTAAGGTGAGACTGGATGTGGCATCAGTGCCATGGTCCAGGAACCACAGCAGGGTTGGATCAAGGCTTGGACTTGATGATCCAGGAGGTCTTTTCCAACCCAGCTGTTTCTATGATTCTCTTCTCCATGCTGAACACCCCCAGCTCTCCCAGCCCATGTATATATAAGGTGAAATAGTAATTGGAAATCAGGTCTAATTGGTGGGAGCCCTGAGCTGGCCCCTGGGGAGGGTTGGTGCCGGCAGGGTGTGCTCACATGCCAGAGATCAGCTCCAGGTGGAGCCAAAGCCCAGCACACCGCCTGGTACCGAGGACAGCCCACCGTGAGGAGTGAAAACCGGGGGCTTTCTCTGCATGGGCTGCTCAGAAGATGCTGATAAATGCTCTCCTTCCTGAGTAGCTCCTTTGCGAGGCAAAGGTGTTTTCAGGGTGAAATGAGAGCAGCAGGATCCTCGCAGCTGCTCTGCTCCAGCACTTTGGCATCTCATGGTTGTTTCATCCTTTGCAGCTCAAAGCAGTGAGGAGGGGACAGGCTGGTCTGTGGATGTGCAGGATGAGTGCAGGGGCTCAGGGCTCCTCCTGGAGGCTTTTTCCCTGGGGGTCCCATCCTGCTGGGCAGGGTGATGTGTCCTGGGATTTGTTCTGGGCTGTGGTGCATCACAGGGATATTGTCAACAGAGCTGAGGGAGCTGGGGGGGCTCAGCCTGGAGAAAAGGAGGCTCGGGGGGGACCTTCTGGCTCTGCAACTCCCTGACAGGAGGGGGGAGCCGGGGGGGGGCATCGGGCTCTGCTCCCAGGGAACAAGGGACAGGAGGAGAGGAAATGGCATCAAGCTCTGCCAGGGGAAGTTTAGGTTGGATATTGGGAAAATTTCTCTGCAGAAAGGGTTGTCCAGCCCTGGCACAGCTGCCCAGGGAGGTGGTGGAGTCCCCATCCCTGGAGGGATTTAAAAGCCACGTGGTACTTGGGGACACGGGTCAGTGGTGGCCTTGGCAGTGCTGAGGGGTGGGTGGGTTCGATGATCTCAGAGGGTTTTTCCAACCTGAAGGACTTTAAGTGCTCTGAATTATGGGGGTCCCGGGGGTATGCAGCACCTGAATGCCAATGCTCAGGGCTGGCAAGGATGCCAGAAGCCCTGGATTTGGGTGGAAACCCCCAGCCAGGGTGGATGTGCTGTACCAGGTCTGTGATGGAAGTTGCTCTGCAAACCTGCTGGTTTGGGGGAGCGTGGGGGGGCTCAGAAGCCCCCAGAGATGGGGCCTGGGGGCTCTTGCCATGGGACCAGCACAGTTATCCCCATCCCCACCCGAAAGGACCTGCCCTGAGCACTAGCCACAGAACTCCTGGGTTCCATGAGCTGTCCAAGTGCCCCTCTACAGACACCTTTTCCCCCATCTCCAGGGTGGCTGCTCTGGTTTGTCCCCACCTCGTCCCTTTGCAGGATTGTCCTGGAGCAGATGGTCTCTGTGTCCTTCCCCGGGGTCACAGCCTGCCTGGCCCCACGCCGAGGCCTCCTAATCCCCTTGGCCCTCCTCTCCCCTCCTCCAGCCCCAGCAGAGGGTGGTCCCACTGATCCTGGAGAGCCACCAGCTGACAGCTCGTGCCACCCCCAGTGCCGTGTCCTGCTCCTCCGGGCAGTGTCCTGTGCCTTCCCAAAGGCTCCCCCAAAGCAACATCTGCTCATGGAGATGTGGCTGTGGCCGCTGGAGCTGCAGGCAATGACGGTGCCTCAGTTCACTCCAGGGGTTCTTCCCTGCTTTTTGGAGGATGGAGCAGCTCTTTTATGCACTTCCAAAAGCACGAGCAGCCTCGGGGGAGGATTTTCTCCTTCCCACGAAAACTGACACCATCCCGTGTTGGAGATACCTATCCAAGATGTTCTGGTTCCTGCTGCTCCCAGGTAGGACAGGCAGGGCTGGGGATCTGCTCTTTATTCAAGTGCTGCAGAAAGTCTTCTCGGAAAGCAAAAAAAAAAAAAAACAACACAGAAGAAAAAGAATCCCAGGGGCTTGCCAAGGTTTTCTCTTGTCATCAGCCCCTCCGGGCCTTGCTGAGTGGTGTCTGGGAAGTCAGCCAAGCTGAGCTGTGGAGCAGGATGGAGCTGGAGGGAGGTATTTGGGATGCAGGTTTTGAACTTGGGTGAACCTCAGGCAAAGGGCCCTTCGGCACGAGCCGAGCCGGCAGGATGTGAGAGGAGTGCCATGGTGGCTTCTTAGGTTTCTGTAGGTCTTATTGCACCAAAGGGGGTTTGGCAGAGGAATTCCTCAATGGGAACATGCAGAGCAGGAGGAGGAGGTGAGAAAATCAGCCTGAGGTGATGGTACAAGTAGATGGGAAGTGGACCTGCTGTGCTGGGAGGAAGGCTGGGGTGAGGGGACCTTTTGCTCCTCTGAAGCTGGATGAAAAGTGAAGCTTGTGAAAGCTCAGGTACCAACAACCCTCCAAGGTTTGCAGCCCTGGACAATTCAACAGCTTCACTCTGGGCTGTGTTTCCATAGGGGAGGGACTTGGGGCATCCTCCAAGCCATGGGGTCCCACCAGCCAGCTGTCCCGGTACTGCCAGGTCTCTCCGGGGGCAGGAGGAGGGTGGCTGGAGGCAGCCAAAGCCCAGGAGTGTCCCTCCTGCAGGGTAGCCCAGCCTGAATCCTCCTGTCCCTCTGCAGAACCCCCTGTGCAGCGACAACGACTCGTCCCTGTGCAGCACCGTGGATTACAAACCCCCCGCCCCCGAGGAGGAGGAGGTGGCAGAAGTGGCCGAGGAGAGCAACGAGCCCGAGGAGTGTTTCACCGAAGGTGAGGGGCCAAGCAGGGCAGGAGACCCTGTGGAGAGGGGCAGGGGGGTGTGGAGGGGCCAGTGCCAACCAATTCTTGCAGCATAAGGACCCCCAGGCTCACTGAGCTCAGCCCAAACTCCACATCCTCCTGTACCACCCCAGAGACGATCCCCATGGGGCTCCCCTCTTCCACCCCACCTAAGCCCAGCAGGGTCCTGCTCCAGCCTCCACCACTGACGGTTTGAAATGCCAATAAAAACCATGGATAGTGTCTCGTTGGTGGAAACACCCTGGCCAGGAGGTGACCCCCAGCTCTGTGTCCCACCCCCAGCCTGCGTGAAGCGGTTTCCCTGCCTCTACGTGGACATCACCAGCGAGAAAGGGAGGATATGGTGGAACATCCGGAAAACCTGCTTCCGCATCGTGGAGCACGACTGGTTCGAGACCTTCATCGTGTTCATGATCCTCCTCAGCAGTGGGGCACTGGTAGGTCCCACCTTCCGCCTGGTCCCACTTGCTCTGCAGCAGCTTCCCAGCACGGGGGAGCACAGGGAGGTGGGCAGGACCCGGGCTCTGGGTGTGTCCTGGTTGTCTCCTGTGCCGAGCCACACAGCTGTGGGCAGATGTTGGATTGAAAAGCCCGTTTGGCTCAGGTCTGTCCAACGCACAGCCTTGCAAGGGGGTCTAAACATACTCTGAGAGTTGTGGTGTGGCAACTCCTCCCCAGCATCCAGGGGCTGTTGGTCCATGGGCTCGAGGGATGTGACTGCAGCTCCCACTCCAGTTATTGATGTCAGCCACAGACTACCTTCTGCACCTTCTATTCAGCCTCACGTGGGCACTTGGTGTGTTCAGCTGGAGAAGAGGAGACCGAGGGGAGACCTCATTGCAGTTACAGCTGCCAGGGGAGGGGCAGAGGAGGGGCAGGGACTGAGCTCTGCTCTGGGGGGACCAGGCACAGCACCCAGGGAATGGCTGGAGCTGTGTCAGGGCAGGGTTAGGTTGGGTATTAGAAAGAGATTCTTCCCCCAGAGGGTGGCTGGGCACTGACCAGGCTCCCCAGGGCAGTGGGCACAGCCCCAAGGCTGACAGAGCTCAAGGATTGTTTGGATGACACTGCCAGGCACAGGGTGTGACTCTTGGGGAAGGTCCTGTGCAGGGCCGGGAGCTGGACTCGATGATCCTTGTGGATCCCTTCCAACCCAGCATATTTTGTGATTCCGTGACCTGGATGTCCATTTAAATCCACCTCATTAATAAGCTGTGTGTCAGCCCGTTGGCCTTCTGAATTTTTGGGCTGGATATAACCCAGAGGCCCCTGGAAAGACCAACCTCTCTGCAGGTTTGGAGGCGAAGAGAGGAGGAGGGAGAACAGAGGGACTGAGGGGGTTTTCAGACATACTTTACATGTCTGCATCGTGCTCTGAGGTGCAGTTTGGGGATGTCTGAGGTTGTAGCTGGTGCCGGAATTGACAGCTGTGCTAAACGAGCTGTGCAACACCTGGTCACCACACCCATACCTCTGACTGCTGACACCTCACACACCGCGGGGGTGGAGCAGTCACCCAGACTCCTGAGGGCGTTTTCAGAGCATCCAAAGGTGTGGGTTGGTGTCCTGGCTTTTGACTTCAGATGGGTGGGAATCTGATGCAGCTGGACTTTTTTGCTTCAAGTCAAACACCACCCCACAAAGCCAACAGGAACTTGCAAACAAGAGTTAGGCCCCAAATTGATTGGGTACATGAGTAAATGCCACCCATCATCAGGCTCTCAACTTCCCACGCTTCCCCCAGCCCTAGGGAAGCAGGTGTGGATGTGGCTGCCCTGGGAAGCAGCGGGTCTAATGGCAGAATGACTGTCACGTAGCTCCGTGCCTCTTGCAGGCATTCGAGGACATCTACATCGAGCAGCGGAAGGTGATCCGGACCATCCTGGAATACGCCGACAAGGTCTTCTCCTACATCTTCGTCATCGAGATGCTGCTCAAGTGGGTGGCCTATGGCTTCAAGGTGTACTTCACCAATGCCTGGTGCTGGCTGGATTTCCTCATCGTTGATGTACGTGATGAGCACCTCTAGAGCCGGAGCCAAGGGGTTTGGGGGCATTAGGGGATTGCAGCAGGCTGTTGGAAATGAACCCATACTGTATTTGAAAGGATAATGGTGTGGCTGTGGAACAAGGGCTGAGAACATTTGTTAAAATAATGGTCTTCCACGGGATGGACCATTTCTTTCCCTGGTTGCAGAAACCCTTTCAAACCACCTCTGTTTTACACCAAAGCCAAGAACAGCCTGTGCTGTTCTACGAGATCCCAGCAGGGATATGAAGGGACACGGGGTCTCCTAAATGCTCCATGACAGAGCAAGCTGTTCTTCCTGTGCAGTATTTCTGTGTCCCCCATCAGCTCCACCCTCACACTCAAGAGGTGGGGACATCCTGCCCCATCCCTGGAAGTGTCCAAGGCCAAGTTGGACACTGCTTGGAACAACCTGGTCTAGTGGAAGGTGTCCCTGCCCATGGCAGGGGCATGGAACTGAATGAGCTTTGAGGTCCCTTCCAACCCAAACCATTCTGGGATTCTGTGATCCTCGAGGTGACTGCTCACCACAGACCCCAAGGACTCAATGTCTATGTCCCAAAACTAGAGCATGGCCACCAGCCTGAGGAAGTGTTGGGGAGAGAGGGAAGGCAGGAGCTGGAGGACGTGGCTTAGTTGTGTTTCCACCTGAGATGCTGCTAATCCCTTGGGCTGCTCCTTACAGGTTTCCCTGGTCAGCCTGACAGCAAACTGGATGGGATACTCCGACCTGGGAGCCATCAAGTCCCTGCGGACACTGAGGGCTCTGAGACCGCTGCGTGCCCTGTCCCGATTCGAAGGCATGAGGGTAAGTGACTGCCCTGTGTGCTGCTGGCTCTGACATGGACACGCAACACTGCACCCTTCAGCAGCCACCTGCACCAGGGACACGTCCCAGCTGGTTTTCAGGGGCCTCCAGATCAAAGGGATTGATGCTTTGGTCCAGTCTGAGTGCACTTGGTGCTGCTGGGGCACGGGCACATGAAGGTCCAGGTCATCACTGGCCTGATGCCCCAGCCGGGTTCCTCCAGGGTCTCTTCTCCCCTCGCAGGTGGTGGTGAACGCCTTGCTGGGCGCCATCCCCTCCATCATGAACGTGTTGCTGGTCTGCCTCATCTTCTGGCTGATATTCAGCATCATGGGGGTGAACCTCTTCGCGGGGAAGTACTACAGGTGTGTCAACACCACCACGGGGGAGCTCTTCGACATCAGCGTGGTGAACAACAAGAGCGACTGCATGGCCCTGCTCCACACCAACGAGGTCAGATGGGTCAACGTCAAGGTCAACTTTGACAACGTGGGCTTCGGATACCTCTCCTTGCTGCAGGTGGTACGTACCAAGGGCAGCTGCCACCATCCGAGGTGCAGGGCAGCGTGGTTGGCATCAGGGCTGGAGTGGCATGCTGCCCTGATGCCCACATGGGGTCTGTGAGCTGCTTCTTAGCTCCAAAGCTGGGTTTTAACACCAAAAAACCACTACAGAGCCAAGGAGGAAAGGGGCAGGGTAGAGGATGGGAGGGGAAGGTGTCAGCAGGGAGCTGCTGCAGAGGATCAGTAGCCCCAAGCCTGGAGCTGCAAAGGGACCCCTGCACAGCACAGGATGCAGGAGTGAGGAGGAGAGGCTCTCTCTTACCCCCCTCACCCATTTGGAAAGTCCAGTCTGCTGTAGCTGTGGGCTGTGGAACTTTTGCACAGGGAGGGTGACAACTGGAAAAAGGGGGCACGTGTCCCCTGCAGGTGGTGGGCGAACGCAGCCGAGTTCCACAGAACTCACCCCAGCTGAGCCAGGCAGCAAAGGGGAACTGCTCAGCACAGTTTTAGTAAAAATAGAGCTGTGGGCTCCGTTATGGGCCGGACTGGGGCTACTCCCATCAGATCCACTGGCAGCTGCAGAATCGGAGCATGAGCCAGGCTGAGTAACCTGCTTTTAAATTCAGCTTCCTCTTCAGTCTTGTTGTTCCATCAGATTCAGGAAACAAGATGTTCAGACCTTTTGTTTAACAAATCAGCAGCAAAAGGCTGTAACAGACGCAGTGTAGTCCCCGTAAAAGGTGCAGTGTAGACCCCCACCCTGCTGGGATGGAAATCCAGCTGATTATGGAAACAGTGGCACAGAAGTCAGGGCTGTGGAGGTGGCACAGCTTGGAGGGAGCCAGGGTGCAGCTGCTGTTGGGAAAATGTACTTTGGTTTGGGGAGAAGAGTCAATAACTTCTTTTCCCAGCCTGGTTGGCAGCAGTGTTTTGGGAAACAGTGGTAATCTCAGCCCCAGAACAGCCCAAGCATGTGCACGGGCAAATCTCCCTGTTTCTGCATTGGGACATTTTTCTTGTGGATTCAAGTCATGTCCCCCTCTCCTGCCAGTCCCATGGAGAAGCTGTAACTCCAGGCTGAGCAGGAGTGCCCAGAGCTAAACCCCAGACACGCACCCATCACACTCCCTCCCCTCTCAGCCCCAAATACCTCCCAGAAAATATGTTCACCACTTTCAGAGAATCATAGAGTCATTTAGGTTGGAAAATACTCTCAGATCATTGAATTTGACCATTCCTGTTCCCTCAGGCAACCTTCAAGGGCTGGATGGACATCATGTACGCTGCCGTGGACTCACGTGAGGTGAGGGGACACACAGGGAGGTCTCACAACCAGCACCAAGTGCCATCCCAGGGGTTGATTCCCCATATCAGACTGGGAACAGGGTCCTGGAGCTGAGGTGCAGCTCAGCACAGGCTGGGATGGATCCTCAGCTGCAGCATCACCTCTGGCTCTGCCCTTTGGTGCTGGGGGCTGCCTGCATTCCACCCATGACTTCAGCAGGGACATGGGCTACAGACTGGGGAGACCCACAGAATTTATCATATCATGGAATCCCAGAATGGTTTGGGTTTGAACAGAACTTAAAGACTGTCCAGTCCCACCCCCTGCCATGGGCAGGGACACCTTCCACTAGCCCAGGATGCTCCAAGCCCCATCCAACCTGGCCTTGGACATTCCAGGGATGGGGCAGCCACAACATCCCCCCTGCTGAGGTGCACAGCCTCAAAAAGAGCAGCCAGCTGAGTCCCTGTGCCACCCATGTCACTGTCACCTGCATCCCAGCTGCAGCCTGGCCCCCACACCAGGTTCCCACCCCACCCAGATACAGCTGGGGCTGAGTCCACTCCTTTCGGCTTCAGTTCGGAGTCCAAAATCCCTGCTCAGCCTGGAGGGCTCATCCTTCACCCTGCTGTGAGCTGATGCCCTCCATGTCCCCTCCAGCTGGAAAAGCTTATTCCACCCTGCAGAAAGTGCCTGGCTTGCCTTGAACAATAAATGGGTTATGAAAACAAAGCAGCCAACATTTAACCTCTGGGTTAAATGGGTTATTAAAAAAACCCAACCAGTTGTTCTGAAGAGTGTCATGCAAAGGCTGTTTCTACCATGATCCATCCCCAACAGTGTCCATGTGGACACACACTGCCATGAGTTGATGCAGCAGGAAGGGCTTCCTGCTGTTCTCTAACAAACCAGGGAGGGTCATCCCACACACCCACGGGCCCAAACTCATTGTTTTCATTGCCTTTTTTTAGCACCAGAAACAGCAGCTCTGCTCACCCCAGGGGCAGCTGCTGGTGCTCAGCTTCCAGGGCCCTCTGCAAACAGAGCTCAGGCTCCTGCCTCCCAGAGCACCTGGGGCAAAGAGCTGGTTTGGGAGCAAACCCACCCTGTCCTGCCAAGAGCTTTCTTCGAAATGGGGGAAGCCAGTGAGGACAGCTTGGCACGTCTCCAGCCAAATGCAGAGCAGAACTAAGGGATGCCCCTTGAGATGAGTGTTGCCCAAGGCTGCCAGGCTGAGCCACCCCCATATGCTGGCATGGCAAATTAACCCACTTTCTCCTTTCCCCTCTTGGCTGTACTTCAGTCCTTGGAATGCCGACTGTTGGGAGGAAACTCACTTTTGCTCATCGATATCTCTGCACCTGGGCATCCTTTCCTATCCCACAGCCTGTGCTGTGGGATCAGGGGTCAGCATTTCCTTGTCCCACCAGATGGTGTCACACGGGTGTCCCTTCCTGTGGTTGCTCCCACAGGGATCACTCAACCCACAGGGCCAAAAGTTGTGGAGCAGCCACCCCACGGCTCTGTTCCAACACCACGACCCCTTCTCCGGGGTTTTGGGGACACATTTTTGGGAGAGGATTAACCTCACATCTCCTCTCTCTCTTGGACAGATTGAAGAGCAGCCACAGTATGAGGTCAACATCTACATGTACATCTACTTCGTCATCTTCATCATCTTCGGCGCCTTCTTCACCCTCAACCTCTTCATCGGCGTCATCATCGACAACTTCAACCAGCAGAAGAAAAAGATGAGTATTTTCTGGGTCCTGCAGTGCTGTTCTGTCTGGGGTGCTGCTCCAGGATGGAGGGTGAGGGGACCAGAGCCACCACACCCAGGGCTCAGATGGATCCCTGGACTCTCATCCATTAGTGGCTCCCTGCACTGGACAAAGGGCACACAAGGCTTGGTGTCCTGGTCATAGCATTTACACAGGACTTAATTCATGGCTGCAGGGGTTGGAGGCAAATGGAAACTGCATTTTCTTTTCTCCTGTGCTATCACTTTTATTTTCTTTTCCCACCCTGTGACCATTTCTCATTAATTTTCTATGCATCAAGTTGAGGCTCAAGTCCTGCTTTCGAGCAAGTAGCACAGGACTAACACCTCAGGGGTGCTGGAGCGGGGAAGCAGGAGGAGGGAGGGCAGGACGTTGTTGGTGCTGACTGAGGTCCCAGCAGGACCACTGAGCCAGTGCAGAGAGCAGTGCCTGGCAGGAGCTTGGCTGGGGACACTTGGTGGGCAGGGACATGGTCAGAGATGTTTGGTGGGCAAGGACATGGTCAGAGATGTTTGGTGGGCAGGGACATGGTCAGAGATGTTTGATGGGCAGGGACATGGTCAGAGATGTTTGGTGGGCAGGAACATGGTCAGAGATATTTGATGGGCAGGAACATGGCCAGAGATATTTGGTGGGCAGGGACATGGTCAGAGATGTTTGATGGGCAGGGACATGACCAGAGATATTTGGTGGGCAGGGACATGGTCAGAGATGTTTGATGGGCAGGGACATGACCAGAGATGTTTGATGGGCAGGGACATGGTCAGAGATATTTGGTGGGCAGGGACATGGTCAGAGATGTTTGATGGGCAGGGACATGACCAGAGATATTTGGTGGCGAGAGGTGAATTCCAGAGACTAACAGCAGCGATTCCCTCTATACTTTGGAGGCAAAGACATCTTCATGACAGAAGAGCAGAAGAAATACTACAATGCCATGAAGAAGCTCGGCTCCAAGAAACCCCAGAAGCCCATCCCCAGGCCGTCGGTAGGTTGGGTTAATCCCCCTGGAGTGGAGCATGCAGGGAACACTTCAATCCATCAGCTGTCCCAAAGGGAATGAGAAGGATCTGGGGAAGATCATTTGCAGGGCAAGGAGCCACATCCTGGCTCCCTGTTGCTACTCTTCAGACAGGAGCTCACTAAGAGCTGGGGCTTCAGAAGAAGTGGACATCAGGCCACCTCCTTTGGGTCTGCCCTTCAACCCTGGCTTTGCTGGCAAGAGCATTGAGGGCATGTCTTTTGCAGGGATTTGGGTTTTCTCCTAGCTCAGCTCCCAGCTCCTCTGTGGAAGAGAGCTGGGCTTGGGGAAAGCTCAACTTTCAACCCCCCTGGAAGGGACACTGGTCCAGCCAATGCATTCACAGCTGAAATTTGGATTTGGGTTTGGTAGCCTTGCACAACTGAGGCCTTTTCCATGTGTTTATTTGTGCCCTGTTAACTGTGGATATAACTAGAAAGTGACTGTTCCCCGTGCCCACACCTCCTGATCACGGTGTTACCAATGGGCTCCATCCTGTGAGGTGCTGGGTATCCTCCCCCCATAACTTCTGGGGCTGTGAGACCTGTACCAGCCACAACCCTGGGGTTTTAAGTGCTCTTTTAAATGCGGTTCCTTCTTCTCTTTCTGTTTGTGTCTTTTATTTTGTGTGTGTCTATCCTGTGGTCCCACCTCACCTCTGGTGCTCCATCATCACCCCCGTGGCCCCTATGGCAGAACAAGTTCCAAGGGAAGGTGTTTGACTTCGTTACCAAGCAAGTGTTCGACATAACCATCATGATCCTGATTTGTCTTAACATGGTGACCATGATGGTGGAAACAGATGATCAAAGCGAGCTCAAAACATCTGTGCTCTACAAGATAAACCTGGTCTTCATCGTCATCTTCACCGGGGAGTGTCTGCTCAAGATGTTTGGCCTGCATTACCACTTCTTCACCGTTGGCTGGAACATCTTTGACTTTGTGGTGGTCATCCTCTCCATCTTAGGTGAGTCCTGCTGGTCCCTCCAGTTCCTCAGGGATCTCACTGGATAATGAAGAGTGGAAATGGTCTCACCAATCCACAGCCACAAAGCTGCTACTGGCCCCTTCTTATACCCACACTTCGAGCAGGGCCAAACCAGCAGGACCCTGAGACAAGAGGGGTGTGAGGCCACCCCATGCCACCAGCTGGGTGAGGGGCTGGGGATGTCTCTCGCTCCTCCTTGGTGTTATTCCCCCTTCTCTCCATGCTGCTGAAATGGAGCAGCCAGTGTTTAACCCTTGTGTCAACCCTGTGTTCAGAGTTTATTTTTTTATATGTCCCCTCTGTCCCCAGAGGAGCAGAGTGTTGTGTACCATCAGGGGTGGCCTCACATCCCTGTGTCTGCCCAGCTCTGGCACATGATGGTGGCTGCAGAGCAGGGCAGACTCACCTCTCCTTCACCCCTTCCCAGGTATCGTCCTCTCCGACATCATAGAGAAGTACTTCGTGTCACCCACCCTCTTCAGGGTCATCAGGCTGGCCAGGATCGGCCGTGTCCTCCGGCTGATCCGAGGGGCAAAAGGCATCCGGACTCTCCTCTTTGCTCTGATGATGTCCCTCCCTGCCCTGTTCAACATCGGCCTCCTGCTTTTCCTCGTCATGTTCATCTACTCCATCTTCGGGATGTCCAACTTTGCCTACGTGAAGAAGGAGTCGGGGATCGATGACATCTTCAACTTTGAAACCTTCGGGAACAGCATCATCTGCCTCTTCCAGATCACCACTTCAGCAGGGTGGGACGGGCTCCTCAACCCAATCCTGAACAGCGGCCCCCCGGACTGCGACCCCGAGCTGGAAAACCCTGGAAGTTCAGTGAAAGGGAACTGTGGGAACCCCTCCATCGGCATCTTCTTCTTCTGCAGCTACATCATCATCTCCTTCCTCATCGTGGTGAACATGTACATCGCCATCATCCTGGAGAACTTCAACGTGGCCACGGAGGAGAGCAGCGAGCCCCTCTGCGAGGACGACTTTGAGATGTTTTATGAAACCTGGGAGAAGTTCGACCCGGACGCCACCCAATTCATCGCCTACAGCACCTTGTCTGACTTTGTGGACACCTTACAGGAGCCACTGAAGATTCCCAAGCCAAACAAGATCAAACTAATCACCATGGATCTCCCGATGGTTGCTGGGGACAAAATCCACTGCCTGGACATCCTCTTTGCCCTGACTAAGGAGGTGCTGGGAGACTCGGGAGAGATGGATGCCTTGAAGGAGAGCATGGAGGAAAAGTTCATGGCTGCAAACCCCTCGAAGGCTTCCTATGAGCCCATCACCACCACTCTGAAAAGGAAACACGAGGAAGTGTGTGCCACCAAAATCCAGAGGGCCTTCCGGAGGTATCTCCTGAGGCGCTCGGTGAAACAGGCGTCCTACATGTACAGGCAGAGCAAGGACGAGGACACCCTGGGCGAGGATGCGCCCGAGAAGGAGGGTCTGATTGCCACCAAAATGCAGGAGATCTACGGGAACAGTGGGACAGAGGTGGAGACAACCCCTGCCATTGGCCTCGAGCCCATTCCCAGCTCAGAGACGCGAGGTGCTCCTGAGGAAGCAAAAGCTTGGGAGAAGGAGCGCGTGGTGAAGGAGTCGCTGGTGTAACAGAAGGAGCTTCCACCTCTGGCCCAGCCTGAAGAGGCTTCATTTGTATCTCCTGCCCAAGAGCTCTTCCATGCACAGATCACCAGATCTTATATATTGAGCTAATTTCAGATGTTTCAAGCAGCCACCTTTCGAAGCAGGATCTCCTCCCGGGTTTTCCAGCTCACTGCACTTGCAAAGAGTTTAATTATTTTTCTTATGAGAACTGAATGTGAAAGCTGTTGTTGGTGAAAGAGAAACATGTTAGTTTTGAAATGATCTCATCACGGTAACGATGTTTTTCAGACATTAACAAAAGAGTATGTACATTTAAGGTAATTATTTATTAATGTTATTTCACAATTAAGAGATTTTCTTGTATATTATTCTTCCAGAGTGCAACCAAGCAACCAGTGAAAGATGAGCCAAGTGAAATAACATTAAGAATAATTACAGAAAACACAAGGTTTTGTGAACAAAAATCTCCAAAGTCTTAAAGTAGCACCTTTCTTTTGAACCTTTGAATAAGCTTGATGATTATTTTTTTGTTACCTACAGAGAAAGTGCAATTATGTCTTAAAAATTGGTTTGCATAGCCAAAACAAAGCATCTGCAGAAATGTTCTCAGGGTTAAATATCAGGTTTTCAAGGTCTCTGGATACGCATTGAAACCATAAATCATTCAGGGCTCTATGATACGAATGTAAACACTATTCATAGTCATGTTTTTTCTCTGTTTTCCTGTTTCATCCAGATTTTGTGGCAGGAAAGCAATGGGCAAAGGTAGGGTTTGGAAAACCTCCTCCAAGAATCCCCAGGCTCTGTGACAAAACCTTCTAGGGTTTTTTCTAGCCCTGTTGCAAGAGGAAATGTCCTGTTGGAGTGCTCTTGGTTGGCGTTCCCAATGTCCTCTTCGTTAGTGTTAATTAAGGAGATGGACCCCCAGGGATTGGAGCAGGTGTTTGGATGATCCTTTCCATGAGCTGCTTCAATGGGGTCCCTTAAATCCCACACAAGCCCCGGGGGGCTCAATGCAATGAATGCTCCTACCAGGGTGTGAATCCCAAAATCCTCAAGCAGAGATTCCTTCCCTTGGCTGGGGCTCCAGAGAGGATCCCGTGGCACGTGCTGGGGTCTCTGTAGAGCTGGATGGGGCCATTCAGGTCCTCACCAGGAAATCTCTGGGTAGAGGAGCGTTTTCCCGTGGGGAAAAAGGGTTTTGCTACTCTTTAAACAGGTGGGCAAAAAGAAAGAAAACCAAGAAAAATGGCACTGGCACAGGTTGCCCAGAGGAGCTGTGGATGCCCCATCCCTGGAAATGTTCAGTTCCAGGTTGGATGGAACTTGGAGCAACCTGGTCTAGTGGAAGGTGTCCTTGCCCATGGCAGGAGGCTGGAACTTTAGACTGAAGATAAGCTTTAAGGTCCTTCCAACCCAAACCGTTCCACGATTCTACGAAAAACACACAAAAGGCCCCGAGTTCACCTCTGACCACCTTCTGCCTTCAAAAGGGAAAAAAAAAGCCTCATGAGATCAAAACCAACCATGAACCAAAACCTCTTCCACTTAAAACAAGGGCTGCTTCTTGAAACCAAAGGGTCTGTCTTTTTTGTATGATTATAATTAATTTCTTTTCTCGGGCTGATTTGGGAGCTGAGCCGTTCCGGATGCCCCACGTTCAGGCTGGCCAGGAGCGGTGCTGAGCTTGCTTGTACCCACGTGTCATCCCATAGCCTTCTTTTCTGTGTTGTTGCTCCCTGGAACAGGAGCCTGAGCTGGTGTCAGTGGCGTTTCCGTGGGGAGCATCCCTGGCACGATGGTTCCCAGCCCGGGTTGTGGTTCACAATCGATGCTGCTTGTACGTACGTGTCAGTCAGTGATGGGAAAAGTGCCACAGAGCAGGATTTGTGTGAGCTAAAGCCATTTTACTTTGTACATTTCTTAAAATAAACAACTGTAAATGATCTGTTATTACGATACCAAGTGCGTTGGGGTGTGTTAGAGGGGGGAAATGTTTTCCCTGAACTGGGAGGGGTGAACGGCCCCTCCCTTTGCTCCAGGGCTTGGCCTTGGACCTGCCATCCTCAGCAGAGCCTGGTGGTCTGATCCTGCACTAGAGACCCCCAGGCACGTCCAACCCAGCCCCCAGAGCTTCTGCTCTGCTGACGAATCCATCCCCTGGAGCCCTCAGTGCTCACAGCGATGAACCCAACTCTGGGAGCTACAGGAGATGCTGCTGCATGTTCCAAGGAGAGGGGTGGGCTTGGAGGAGGTGCAGACCCCCTGAGCTGCCCCATGGCAGGCTCTGTGGGGCCAACCCCCCCCAGCAGCCATGTGGGAGCAGGTCAGCATCACGGGGAGAAGGCAGTGGTGGGCGAAGGAGGTTCCTGCGTCAGTGTGTGGCTGGAGGAGGAGACACCTCTGGGACTCGGTGACATCCCCGAGGGACAGGGCATGGCTGTGTTTTTGCTCTTGCTGGAACAGCTCGTCCCAGGGCTGGTGTAATTCAAGTTGGGAGCAGCGTGGTACCAACGCAGCCAGGGGGCTGGAGCGGGGAGGTGGCACAGCCCTGGAAAGGACAGCGGTGAAACCCAAACCCTGATGAATAGGGACGGGCTGGTGAAGGTGCAGCTGCCCAGCAGTGGCTCTGGACTGTGGGTTATGGAGTCAGGGTGGTCCAGGAGAAGAGGCATGGGGACACAGGACCCTCCCCACGGGACCACCAGGTCCCTCTGCATCCCATGTCACATGTTACTGCAAACACAGGGGACTTCCAGGGGAGACCAAGCCCCTCCAGCCCAGGTCTGTGCCTGTTCCAGGGTGCCAAGGAGCCCCCAGGCAGTGCAGTGGGTGATCTGGCCATTGTCACTGCAAACCCTCTTTAGCTTGTGCCCTGCTCCTGGTTTTACCTTGCAGGGCTTTCCCAGGCACTTCCAGCATCCCAGCTCCCATCTCCAGCCCCAGAGCCTGCTAAAACCCCCTCCAGTGCCCACCAAGCACGTGGGCATCCCATTGCCTTTGCCTTGCTGGGATCTCAGCCAGGCTCTGCTCTTCCAGCAGGACCCGGGGGGTGATGGCAGCAGGGACTGAGTGACACAGCCCCTTCTCCTGCAGTGCCAGGAGAAGGCACCCCTCCCATCATCCCTTTTTCCCCCACGGAGCCAGTATTTCTTTGGAAAACTTTATTTCTCTTCTTTTCTGTCCCTTTGCACACAAGGTGAGGCTCGAGCTGGTTCCCAGCATCCGCCGGATGCTCGGGACTGGCAAAAAAACCACCAAACTTGCAGAAGATGAAGGTTTGGGGAGGCCCCAGGCAGTGGCACCCAGACTCTGGGGACCAACACGACTGGCAAAAGTACCCAAAGGTGTTTTTCACTTGAAGTCACAGCTCAGTGCTCACCTGCAGCCACTAAAGTGCTGCAGCTCAGGGGGCACAGCACGGAGGGAAACCATGTCATGCATCAAAATTCACCTTGGGGTGCCTCGCTGTGCTTCCCCAGAGTCTGTCTGTCTCCAAAGGATTCTTGGAGAAGGGTCTTGGTCATGGAAAATGGGGTGTGAAGCACCCACAACACCCAGGCATGGCTGGTGGCCAGGGAGGTGAGACCTTATTTTGGCCATCTCTTCCCCCCTTCTCTTCTCCCTGGAAGTGTTTAAAAAACCTGTGGATGTGGCACTTGAGGACATGATTTAGTTGTGAACATGGGTTGACAGCTGGACTTGATATTGAAGGTCTTTTCCAACCTCAACAGTTCCATGATTTTATGACTCTGGATTTCACTTTTCCCTGGAAGGGCAGCTGCAGGGACTCTCTGGGGTGCAGCCATGGCAGTACATCCATAAGTACATCCATAATTAACTCCATAAACATCCTCTGTTCCTACCCCTGCTCCAACTCTTGGCAACTGGGCCAACATCAACCCCTGCCCACCACCCGAAGGGCCAAACACCCTGGAGGGGATCTTTGGAGCTTGGGGGAAACACTGGAGGTCACCCCCATCCTCTATCCCCCAGGGATGTGGCCAGGAAGAAGTCACATCCTGCTCCCTGGACTCATCCCCTGTGCTCATCCCAGGGTTGGCATCACCAAGTGCTTTGCAGCCAGGGCTCCTCTCCAGCTCTGCTGCAGATCCACAACAGTCCTGGTCACCTCCATCAAATATCAGCACCACGGTGGGCACAGCCTGGGGACACGAGGATGGGCAGTGCCCGGGGACACGGGGCTGGACAGTGCCCAGGGCACAGGCACCTGCTGGCCCAGCGTCTGCACTGCATTCAAAACCAGCCCCGAGGGGAAAGTCCCCAGCGGGAGGATTTACATGAGCAGGAAAGGGGCCGTCTCGCGCAGCAGCAGCTTTGCCATTTTTAGGTCCCGGGGTCGGGCCGGCGGGAGCAGCCGCTGCCTTTTGCAGAAGCAAAGGCTGGATGTGTCTCCCTGCCCCGTGGGGTGAAACATGGCTGATCTGTGCATGAGGCTCTGGGTGCTCCAGGTGAACCTCTGGCTGCTGGCTCTGGTCACAGGTAGGCATCAAAGGGGGTTTGCACTTCAGAGCGAGGAACCGTGTGCCCAGGGGATGCACTGGCATGAACTCTGTGCCCAGGGGATGCACTGGCATGAACTCTGTGCCCAGGGGATGCACTGGCATGAACTCTGTGCCCAGGGGATGCACTGGCACGTGTCCCCTGCTTGGGGGCTTCACCCAGCTCTGCCTTTCACTGTGTCAGTTTTAAGCTTTGCTCTGGCCTCTCTCAGTCCTGCTCTGGGCTGGAAGCCTCCCAGGTGCAGCAGAGCCCGGGGGGGGACACACAGGGCTCAGGACTCAATGCCTGCCTCAGGTTTTAGGTTTTGCTTCCCACTGGGGTGTGGAGACAGGGCACGTTTTTGGCTGGTCAGCTGGCTCTGGCAGGAGCCCAGCGCCAAGTGGGTGTAGGGCCTGCCTGGCTGTGGTTGCAGGTGTCAGGAAAGAAGGGTTGTTGTGGTCTTTTTAACCATTTTTTGCCCTCAAAGACCTGAGGATGGGGCAGGCACAGCACTGAGGCCATGGCCAAGCCACAACCCTTTGCTCTGTGGGGTTCAGTGTCTGGGAGCAGAGGAGAAATGGGAGGAAAATGGCTTTTGGGGGAGATTTGTGGGCCCTGTGTGAACATCCCTGTGCTGTTCCCCTTGGCATCCCCATGGAGAAGAAGCAGATAACCCAGGACATGACTCCTGTCCCCTTCCATCGCCCCTTGCCTGCTGCAGGGC